ATCGAATTTTTATCAATAGACCACAAAGCTATTCACCGTTTACCTACTTTTGTTCCATCAGAAATGTTTACCGTACACTGCGGCGTACAAGTCAACTCTAAGACTTTCAGCTTAATTAGGCTTTTACCTACCCTATAGGCCGATCCCCAAGCACACGGAAGGCCTCCAAGCTTGATTTTAGGCTACTGTATATGATAACCCGTACTAAAACTATATAATTCCAAAATGACCGCTTAACTCAAACGGCATTTCGGTAAGCGTTTGCACCTCGTGTATCAGCAGTTGGACACGATGTGTGCTGTAGTGTTAATAGAATACTGATTTTCTTTAAATTATTATGTATTTATTTCCGTGTTAATATTTGAAATGTGTTCGTCAAACACAAACAGATGTTACTATTATTGTATCTGTGATTTACACAGTATCTCCTACAAACGAGTATTACAATAGATGGATAGTAATCAGAATGAGATAGATAGATAGATAGATAGATAGATAGATAGATAGATATGAACAGACTGAGATAGATAGATAGATAGATAGATAGATAGATAGATAGATAGATAGATAGATAGATAGATAGATATGAAAAAATAGGCCTATGCCTACCGTGTAGCTCGACCCCCACCCCACGAAATACGGTAGTCTACTAGCGGCCCAACACTTAGACCTACTGGTAAATGTTGGGCTATTACTGTATCTGTGATTTACAAAATCTTTCCTTAAAAACGGGCATTACAGCAGATAGATAGATAGATAGATAGATAGATAGATAGATATGGACAAATAGGCTTATACTTACCGTGTAGCACCCCCCCCCGCCGAAATACGGTAGTCTACCAGTGGCCCAACTCTTAGACCTACTGGTAAAAGTTGGGCTATTACTGTATCTGTGATTTACAAAGTCTCTCCTTACAAACGGGCATTACAACAGATAGATAGATAGATAGATAGATAGATAGATAGATAGATAGATATGGACAAATATGCCTATACCTAACATGTAGTTCGACCCCCCAAACATACGGTAGTCTACCAGTGTCCCAACACTTACACCTAGGGGTAAATGAAGTTAGGCTACAGTATACGTTAACCTGTGCCAAAACTATATAAGGTTATACCACTTACCTTCATATTTAGACACTTCTCATAATATATTTTTAAATGCGTTGTGTCGCAAACAACCTACAACACATACCAGTCTGTACCGTATATTGTATCGGTATAACTTAGCAGACATTGAAGCCCACCTTTCAAATTAAATGTCCCAGACCCTGTTCTGTCATCCACTTGCTTAAACCCGCTAAGTATGTCATACATTGCTTTCCCTTGTCTCTCTTTCCATCTATTCGCCCTGTGAGTATCAGATTCTCCAAGCCCTTCTTTCTCATTACCTGTCCCAGAAATTTCATCTGCCTCTTCTTGATGTTAAGTATAAGATTTCTTCTTATTTGCATCCTATCTAAAATCTCATCCTTGCTCACATGTTCGGTCCATGCTATCCTTAGCATCCTTCTGTAGAAGCATAACTCCGTTGCCCCGAGTCTCTTCTTGAACTTTGAAGACGCCGTTCAACATTCACTGCCGTAAAGGACAGATATCACGTAGCAGTTCAGTACTCTTTTCGTTGTTACCACTCCGAAAACAAGCACAGAAGTAGGACGCATAACGCGGGAAATATCTGTATGACAAGGTATGGTTCTACAGAAGGATGCTAAGGATAGCCTGGGGCGAGCATGTGACCAACGATGAGGTTTTGGAGAGGATGCAAACAAGGAGGAAGGATTCGCACGTAAATCAAATGTTATTACACTGGTTCCTTTTTTGATCGTGGTTGATTTTTTTTTCTTCTGAAAAGAAAAAAAAAGCATGACAGGTTCTTCAGGATATTTCAACTTGTTCAATAATCGTTTTGCTCGTAAAACCCATCGTTTGTTTGTGTGCAGGCATGAAACGCTCTCTCCTTGCGACACATGAGTTGTATCGAATATCCCCATGCAACATGTCCGTGCCCGGGATACGCATTGGTAATTTACTGCATCCGCTGGACTAATTCTAGTGTCCTGACACTGTTCAAATGTTGTGAATGCATCTTACACTGCGCTAAAGGTAACACATCCCCGCTAGAGGATTAATGTTTTCACCTCCTTTTTCTTTCATTTCTGTTATATATATATATATATATATATATATATATATATACAAAAAGTGATTTGTACGCGCAGAAATAAAACATAGATTTCACCCCATTTTGAATGTTAATTATTTGGAATTAAAATTTATCTCTTTATAACCGCTTGGCAATTTTCCCTCCTCATTCGTTATATTGAGTGTGTCTTTGATTGTTTTCCAATTTGCCAACGTATACCTTTAAAAAAAAGTGTTGGTCGAAAGCTACCTAAGGTATAACATGACGTCCGTTTTATATATATATATATATATATATATATGCCATTCGCAGACAGCACTGGTACTAGACATAGGAATGCTCCAAGCCCAGATTGAAAACCAATCGATCTGGTGTTAGTCAGAGTTTCTACCACTGAGCTATCTTCACTCGACAGAATGCGTCAGCCAAATCTAGCGTATTGTTGTTAAAAATGTAAACAAACGCCAAGCAGCCGAAGTGCTCCATCCATTTTACTGAAGAGCTTCGCATTAACACAGGCGTATACATATATACATATATATATTTATTAAAGACATTTTTATGTTTAACGTTCTTTTTTATAGATACAAGTATTTAAGTAAATGCTCTGTTTATAATAAAGAGTATTAAATAACATATACCGGCCTGAATGTCCGAGAAATTTTCATATAAAATATTCGTCCTTTGACAGGATTCGAACCTGCATCCTATACTGAACCGTCATTTACGCTGACGTGCCTTACCGACCGTCCACAAAGGAGCGTTCGGTAGACAAGGTCGAATTTACTGCTTATAAACTTCAATCTTTGTGGCCGGTCGGTAAGGCACGTCAGCGTAAATGCAGGTTCGAATCCTGTCAAAGGACGAATATTTTCTATGAAAATTTCTCGGACATTCAGGCCGGTTAATGTTATTTAATACTTTATATATATATATATATATATATATATATATATATATATATATATATATATATATATATATATATATATATATATATATATATATATATAAAGTAGAAAGTAGCGGTTACATGGGGTTGCCAGGCATAGTATAAGGATTGCTTTGGTCGGATGATATTCAAATGAGATATTTGATCTGATGAAGCTATTTAATAACATGATACTTAAGTTAATATTTTAGTTTTATAGTATTTTGCTATGTTGGACAAAAATATCCCTAGTGCAGCCTAACATAATGTTGTATAGGAATAAAATGTCATTGTCGACACCGTAGTTTGAACACAGATCACCAGTGAGCAAACACGGACGATTCCATAATTAAATAAGTAGATCACATGATCGTAAAGAAGGCATATAAATGGGAATTAGCGTGACATCTAAGCGATCATTATTCTCTATACTGTCCATCATACTATGTCTCTATACTGATCATTATATGAATTACAATTTGGCGATTATTATTTGAACAAGTGTTATTAGTACGAGTATTATTTGAAGACGTTACTACTGCCAGTATCTGTGTTTGCAAAGTCTCGTCTACAACGAGCATTTCGGAAGTGATAACGAGAATTCGTTGACTTAACGGAAGTTAAAACGAGGGAGCGTCTAACATCACAAAAGTGTGCAAATATCTCCCCATGAAACCCTTAGAAATTTGCTGTAAAACGACTTGTACAGGTCAGCTTGACTTCCATTTCGTGGCATAACTTTGTTTCCGTTCGTTCGATACATTATCCCACAAGAAATTAGGCGATCATGCCTCTCCGCGATTTTCTTTAACACGTGTAAACTGCCATGACTCATTAGAAAAGAGAAAAGAATGGTTTCCTCGTCGCAATTCAGCGCAGTATTTCAACGTGGTGTTATGGTTAGCGAGCTTGTCACGCTAGACCAATTCCGACTGAATAGTGAGATCGATGCTCACTGAGTGCCCCATACTATCGGTCTTGTATTACGTCAACGCTACACTTAGAAAACCACCACACAAGGCTTTGGAACCCAGTCTAGCCATCTATTTAATCCATAAATGTGGGGATGTTTAGAAATGACGCACTCGTATACCTTTCTCAGAAGCCTTAGCGTGAATGTTAACAGAAGCCTTAGCGTGAAAGTTAAGATGTGGGGATGTTGAGAAATTACGGAATCATATACCTTTCTCAGAAGCCTTAGCGTGAATGTTAACAGAAGCCTTAGCGTGAAAGTTAAGATGTGGGGATGATGAGAAATGACGGACTTGTATACCTTTCTCAGAAGCCTTAGCGTGAATATTAACAGAACAGACTAACACGTGGCAGTCATTTTGAGACATCAAGTATTTCTGGGGGCAAAGAAAATCTTTACATGGCATCAGGTAAATACTTTCCTAAGCGAGACCACGCCAATGGAATGCTACACCAACATTATGATATCGCTTGGCTATAAGTTTGATGAGACCAAACTGCGAACGTCTATGTGGGATTGTTTGTCTGGCGCGATTTTTCAGGCAACGAATAAATATACAGTTCTGATAGATGATTCTGGTAAGTCTTGAAGGATGAGTTGCCATTCTTTGATGAAAGAGAAGACATTGATGATGGCAAACTCCAAGAATTTTTACTGCTTATCTCTGTCTAGCACCAGCAGAAAAGAAATTCGAACATTTTTATTTTACTAAGACAAACATATTCATTACAAACAGTGTCCGCCATTAGTTGTATGTCTCTCGCTATTTTTTTCTTTTTAATTCATTGAATCTTATTAATGTTTCCGCGTCTCGACGTAAGTTCATTCCTCTGTTTGTTTTAGCGCTCCTTTCGAGAGGCGTGGCTGAGTGAGGTCGTTGCGCGTAAAAAAAGAAAGAAATGACTCCGATGAAATCCTTTTAAACTGAGTACACATAATTTGTCTAAATTTCAAGGATGTTGAGTTAACATTATTTACACTATTTACATTCGGGCAATTGATCAGGATAACCTGCAAGGAATTATGAACTGAACCCTTTATTTAGTCAACGAGGCCGAATTGTTCTTGTACCACTCCTCATGTCTACGGATATCATATTTAACCACTCAATATATATAGCGTTTAAGGAAGAAGAAATAACATTAGATTAAAACAGGTAACTCCCAAAAATTTCCTTACAAGTGTACACCATGATGGACACTTGATAAAAACAAAGTTTTATCAAAATGTTTATGTCATTATTAAGAAGAAAGTATTTTTTGATTATTTTATTATTTTTTTTTTAATCATTTCTAACGCTTTCGAAATTTACGTTAGAAATCTTGCTTTTCTTGCCTCAGCGAGTGAGTTAAAGATTAGTACTAAAAATTTTAGTGTCTTCTTTGGGCGTCGAAAAACATTGTTTTTTTGTTGTTGTTTTTTTAATTCTTGCAAAAATCAAATAATTGTCGGATTTTAATGTAATTCTGAGAACTTATTCACAAATGAAGGAAATTAGTTTTGTTCGAAATTCCAATCACCTGAAGAAGGCCGGAGCGTACAACGGCCGAAACGTTGTGAATATGGCAATGAAGATGAGAATAACAGTCCGAATAATGTAAATAATGCAAATAATCATAATACCTCATCCAAGAGATAGAGACAAATATATATATATATATATATATATATATATATATATATGTGTGTGTGTGTGTGTGTATATATATATATATGTGTGTGTGTGTGTGTGTGTGTGTGTGTGTGAATGTGTGTATGAATGAATAATGACAAAAGGAAAACTTATCATATTCAATGCGTTTCATCTTATGATGGAATTTACCAAGGCAAATGTAAGGATTTTATTTTGCAACTAGTATTTATAAAGAAAAACAAAAATGTTACTTTTTCAGAAATTTTAAATTCAAGAACACTCAAAAATGCGCTACAGGCTAAATGAAAGTCAAGGTGAATTATGGAAGATCCTAAGTGATATAATTTAATGTCTATTGAACGAAAGTGAATAAATGTTATTATTATTGTAGATTTTTTTATACAATGTAATAAGTACACTGGTCAACAAAGACAAAAATTTTTGAAACGGTGTCGAGACAGCAAATATCTTCTTTTTTTTTTTTTTTAGTTAATTTGAGGACCCTGAATGTGAAAAAGACTTTACTGTTTATTGGTTAGATACCGTTTTTGCTGTACAGAAATGACTTATTTTTGGGGAAAAAAAAATCATATTTTTCATTTTTGTTTTTTTCTATATTTATGATATTGACCGATGGCAAAATATTTCTCAAAATAAAATCGTAGAAACCTCTCAATTTGTATTTAAACCAAACAAAATATAGATTTGCTTATTAAGAAATACTATTTTTGCAACAACAATCAGGCCTTAAGTCCTTTAAAAATAACACGATTGAATATACCCAGACCAACAAGTATTTTTCATCAAAGCAATTAATAAACTAACAACAGAAATAAAACCTTCGTGAACATAAGAACTATTTTTCTCTTGATTGTCTGTTATGTTCAGTGTTATTTTAAATCTCTTTTGATATTCCAACAGTATCATGTACAATGGAATAGGTGCATTCAATTGGGATGTCTTTAGTTTGAGTTTCTTTCCAAATGAGAAAACAAAATGCTCTCAGTGTGTTTGGTTTCCTTCCGTAGTGAAGGAATAAATATGATGGGATAACTTTATGAATATCAAACAGAAGATTTTAGGGTTTCATTTTTTTATTCGATGTCACCTTAATTATCAGGTTTACTAAAGTGTATTACTGATAAAGTTTATCAGTTTATTTTGAAAGTTGGCGATAAACTGGAAAAATTTCGTACATCTATTTTAAAATGTTTGACTCAAAAACACTTTTTTTCTTATAGAAATACTTTATTTCAAGTGGCTGACATGAATTACTCGGCCTACCTAAAATTGGGTGTCTACGACCTTTATTAACTAAATCTTGCGATCAGCCAAGATCGCACATGATCTTTTTTTCCAAAAATGAGCAATTTCAGTACAGTAAAAATGGTAGCTAAGCATGAAAAACTAAAGTCCTTTTTCGAAATCAGCACCATCAAATTAACTAAAAAAGGTGTTTTTTATCTTGGTACCAAAAATCGTGTTGACAAGTCTCATTTATATGTTTTGCATTATTCGGACTATTGTCCGCATTTTTGTCGCCATATTGATTACAACGTTTCGGTCGTTGTACGCTCCGGCCTTCTTCAGGCGGTTGGAATGTCGACCTGAACCCTTTATTTCGCTCACTGGGGTAGACCTTTCTAGTTCAACGTGCCATGTTTAATGGATGTTAGTTATTAGTTATCAACTGTTAATTTCTCTTCTGAAAAATTGCAATATGACTCTGATAAAAACCTGCAATGATAACAGCAAAAATAGCAATATGAGCACTATTAAAAAAATGGTTGCTGAAAACATTAGGTTTATAATACCCAGAAATTCATACACAGATGTCCTCAAGGACACATGGATAAAGGCGTTGGTTAGATCCAGTGACAGGACCCAAAGAGTGTGAGTTCAATACCCGGTTAAGGCAGCGGGAGATAATTGATATCCATTAGACATGAACATGACGGGGAACTACAATAGTCTACCCCAGCAAAATAAAGGTGTCAGTTCGACATTCCAATCACCTGAAGAAGCATACAACGGCTGAAACATTTGTAATGCGACAAAGATGAGGACAATAGTTCGAATAATGTACATAATACCTCATCTCAGAAGTATAGACAGATACTGGAGAAACGTTACGAAACCGATCCACCGAAAATATGGTAATACATATGGCGACAAAGATGAGGATAATAATCCGAATAATGTAAATAATGTAAATAATACCTCATCTCAGAAATATAGACAGATAATGAAGTCTTATTTATATTATTTTAGTCTAAATAATAGATTTAACCGTTTTCTTTTGATAGTCAATCAATGAAATAAGTAAAAGTTTACAAAAAATAAAGGGACAATGATCTTCCAAGAGTGAGTTGGGCAGATGTCAAAGAATAAGAGAAAATTATTTATATAGGTGATGAATGTGGCAGAGTATGTCTATCCAATGCAGGCCTAGTTAGCCACATGAGATTGGGAGACGTTTGACAAATTTCGATCAATGTCACGCGGTGTGTGTCAGAAAACCTGTAATCTGAACAGAATTTACAAAACATGCCAGGCCCTGTATAAAACAACTTTACTTGGTGGGTCTGCATTACACACTGCGAATCATTTGCTGAATTCATTATTATTCTCCAGCGAACTAAAATCATGGATCAAAATTGTCAGCAATTTTTATACTTGTTTAAGGAGTCAACAGCCATTATCTATCTATCTATCTATCTATCTATCTATCTATCTATCTATCTAATTCTTATCTATCTATCTATCTATCTATCTATCTATCTATTTTTATTCCTATCTCATTCCTATCTATCTATCTATCTATTTTTGTTCCTATCTATCTATCTATCTATCTATCTATCTATCTATCTATATTTGTTCCTATGGATCTATCCATCTATTTATTTTTGTTTCTATCTATCTATCTATCTATCTATCTATCTATCTATCTATCTTTGTTCCTATGGATCTATCCATCTATTTATTTTTGTTCTTATCTATCTATCTATCTATCTATCTATCTATCTATCTATCTATCTATCTTTGTTCCTATGGATCTATCCATCTATTTATTTTTGTTCTTATCTATCTATCTATCTATCTATCTATCTATCTATCTATCTATCTATCTATTTTTGTTCCTATCTATCAATCTATCTATCTATCTATCTATCTATCTATCTATCTATCTATCTATCTATTTTTATTCCTATCTATCTATCTATCTATCTATTTATGTTCCTATCTATCTATCTGACTATCTGTATTCATCTATCCTTGTGCTGATGCCTATATATTTTAGTCTCTTCATACCTATTCATGCAGTACAATATGTTAGTCTATTAATCTCCATTTTTAGCATCTATATTTTTGTTTTGTTTCTTCTCGGCAACAACGCCGAAAGCCTGCGTGAGCTAAGGTTCCTTTGTGTCGGTCTGTCCACGATTCTATCTGTGCACACGAACGGGTTTCACAACCTCCAGCCCTTTTGCAAGTTGTCATTTGGTGTGCGGCGGAAGGGGGGGGGGTATTCATAAATGATGAAACTTCCAAACGAATTGCTTCGTGATTAGCTATTTCGGGAACGTTATATCACGAAGGCAGGATATTATCCCCTTTCCTGTTTGAAGAAGGAAGAGAAGAGGAGGAGGAGAAAAGGAAGAGAAGAAGGAGGAGAAGAAAAAGAAGTAGTAGTAGAAGAAGAAGAGGAGGAGGAGGAGAAGAAAAGGATGAGGAGTAGGAGAAGGAGAATAGGAAGAAGAGGAGGAGGAGAAGAAGAAGAAGAAAAAGTAGAAGTAGAAGAAGAAAAAGAGAAAAAGGAGGAGGAGAAAAAAGAAAAGGAGGAAGAACAAAAGAAGCAGGCGAAAAAGAAGAAGAAGAAAAGAAAAAGAAGAGGGGAAAAAAGAAGAAGGGGAAAAGGAGGAAGAAGAAAAGATGTTGAAGTGAGAAGACGACGATGAAGAGGAGTAAAAGGAAAAAAAGAAGAGGAAAAAAGAAGAAGAAAAGAAGATGAATTAGAAGTGAAAAAAGAAGAAGAAAAAGAAGAAGAAGAAGAAGAAGAAAAAGAAGGGATACAAAAGGAGCAAGAAGAAGAAGAAGAAGAAGAAGGGGTACAAGACGAGTAAGAAGAAGAAGAAGAAGAAGAAGAAGAAGAAGGGATACAAAAGGAGCAGGAAGAAGAAGAAGAAGAAGGGATACAAAAGGAGCAAGAAGAAGAAGAAGAAGGGATACAAAAGGAGCAGGAAGAAGAAGAAGGGATACAAGACGAGTAAGAAGAAGAAGAAGAAGAAGAAGAAAAGGGATACAAAAGGAGCAGGAAGAAGAAGAAGAAGAAGAAGAAGAAGAAGAAGAAAAGGGATACAAAAGGAGCAGGAAGAAGAAGAAGAAGAAGAAGAAGAAGAAGAAGAGATACAAGAGGAGCAGGAAGAAGAAGAAGAAGAAGAAGAAGAAGAAGAAGAAGAAGAAGAAGAAGAAGAAGGGATACAAGACGAGTAAGAAGAAGAAGAAGGAGAAGAAGAAGGGATACAAAAGGAGCAGGAAGAGGAAGAAGAAGAAGAAGAAGAAGAAGGGATACAAGACGAGTAAGAAGAAGAAGAAGGGATACAAAAGGAGCAGGAAGAAGAAGAAGAAGAAAGATGTAAATACGGTTGAAAGAAGAAGAAGAAGAATTGAAAGAAGAATGAAATACTACTAGAAGAAAGAAAAGAAGACAAAAACGAAACATCAAGAAAAAAATGAAAGGCGAAGAAGAAGACCAAATGCTATTAAAATATTTGAAAGAAGAGGTAAGTACAGTTGCAAGGAATCATAAAAGAAAGACAAAAGGAGGCAAAAGTTAAATACAAGAGAAAGAATGTTAAGAAAAAGCCGTAGAAATAGTAAATACAATAGAAATCAGAAGAAAATATGGATGATAGAAAGAAACGGTGAAGAAAAGAATAAGAAATAGAAAAAAAGAAAGTAAAAAAACACATGGATCTCGATTTAAGTCAAGACGGACATTTTTTTTTTTTTTTTTTGCTGTTGCTATAGCAGGATGTGACAACACAAACGTGAAATTTAGATATGCTGTTATTTGGTGATTGGAGTCAACTGCAGTGGCAGAAGAAATGCTTTCCTTGGTCACTGAAGTTACCTAAAGAGTGCTTAAGTTTAAAAGATTATATCAACGCACTTTTCATCATGTGTGCTCCCGCCTTAACTTGGACACGAAGAGGGTCAAAGGGAAAATTTTTTTTTTTTTTTTTAATTAAAGTTTAAGGAAAATAAAAGCTTGCTGTACTTTGAAGCTCTTCGTCGCTGAGGGTTGAAACATGCCGGATTAAAGGGTGGTTTATCCTGCATGTGGCTGTTAGGGGTGGGGGTTCTACCTTTGCCGGACTGCATGTTTGCTTCATCGACAAAGATAATGCACACTGTTTACAATAAAAATAAAAAATAAAAATGAGGCGTCTCTTTTCAATACAAGTATCCATCATAATAACGTTTAAAGCAACAAAAATGTAGAGTTAAAAATAAATCCATTCTTTAGAAACATATATATATATATATATATATATATAGATATAGATAGATATAGATAGATATAGATATAGATAATATTAGTGGTAAATATACATACATATGCAAAATATATAAATACCCATACATGTATATTTTAAGGTTTAATCTCCCTCCCCCTCATACTTACACTCTCTCTAAATTCTGTTTTTATTTCCGAAGTTTTTTTTTCTGTTTTCTTTTTGAATTTGTAGGTCTGATGAACTGGTATTTACGATTCCAATGGAATAAATTATGACCATGGAATATTAGAGTTTAAGCCTTTTTATTATATATATATATATATATATATATATATATATATATATATATATATATATATATATATATGGGGTGGATATATATATATATATATACACACACACACATACACATATATATATATATATATATATATATATATGGATGATAGATAGATAGATAGATAGATAGATAGATAGATAGATAGATAGATAGATAGATAGATATGCGCGTACATAGGAGAGGGAAGATATATTTTTCTTTTTTATTGCTACTGGCAACGAAATATGAGAGAAATTCCCGTTAGGAAAATACACAATCGTAAGATGTCAAATAAATGAAAGAAAATCTGAAATAAAATGTTGGAAAAATAATCGATTAAATAAGAAAGAAAGAAAGAGAGAAATCTAAAAGAAAGAACGAAAGAAAAAAACGAAAGAACGAAAGAAAGAAAGATTGAAAGAAAGAAAGAACGAAAGAAAAAACGAAAGAATGAACGAAAGAGCAAAAAAAACAAAGAAAGAAAGAAAGAAAGAAAGAAAGAACGAACGAAAGAACGAAAGAAAAATCGAAAGAAAGAAAGAACGAACGAAAGAAACAAAGAGAGACCGAAAGAAAGAACGAACGAAAGAATGAACGAAAGAAAAATCGAAAGAAAGAAAGAACGAAAGAACGAAAGAACGAACGAAAGAAAGAAAGAAAGAAAGAAAGAAAGAAAGAACGAACGAACGAACGAACGAAAGAACGAACGAAAGAAAAATCGAAAGAAAAAAAGAAAGAAAGAACGAACGAAAGAACGAAAGAACGAACGAAAGAAAAATCGAAAGAAAAAAAGAAAGAAAGAACGAACGAAAGAACGAACGAACGAAAGAAAGAAAGAAGAAAGGACGAACGAAAGAACGAACGAAAGAAAGAAAGAAAGAAAGAACGAAATGGCGAAATTAATGGAAAATGGAAAAAAAAAAGAAAGAAAGAAACCGAAAGGAAAATTGCAAAAAAATACGAAAATAAATAACTGAAAAAAGAAAAAAAGAAAAGGTATTAGCTCTGAAAGAAAGAAGAGAAGTAAAAGTTGTAGGGAGAAGCAAAAGGCTAGCGTGTGAGAAAGAAAGAAAGACAACTAATGGAATATCAAAAAGAAAGGAGTTTAAAAAAGATATAAAAAGAAAAAAAAAGATTTAATGAAAAAGAAAGTAAAAAGAAAAGAAAATATAAAATAAATAAAAAGAGGTCAGGTAAAATATGAAGATAAAAGAATAAAACGAAAAAAAAATGAATGAAATAAGTCGGAGCTTCTTTAATGAAGAAATAAAAGAATGAAAGAGTCGAAACTTCTCTATAGTACAGGACATAAAACCAAAATAAAAGACAAAGAAATTCTGATTGTGTTGGCACTTTTAAGAGCGACAAAATAAAGCAAGTAACCTAAAAAAAAAAGAAATCTTCTTCAGTTGGATGATCCTTAAAAACTATCTTCCAAGCAACATGCATAAAGTGTAATTTACGGTTGACATTCATCGTTCAGGGAAGACACGACAAAAGACTTGATACAAATAAAACAAAACAAAACAAAAAATCTTTGAATAGAAAATGGAGAGACATGAAATAAATTGTGTTGCCATTTTGTGCTATTCGTCTTAAGATGAACGTTAATCCATCAACGCATTATTGGGACCTCCAGGGGGAAAAAATACAAATAAAAACTGGAACCGAATTATGTGAAGTAGAAAGCTTGAAAAAGAGAAGATGGAAAAAAAAATCTCACGTTTTTGATTAGGTTTAAAACTGATGAATTGTATTGCGATGGAAACGAATTGTTGCTACTTGCTTTCGTTCTTGTATGTAAAGGTTCGTGTGGGAGGGGAATTCTTACAAATGCTTCGACGTCAATACAAGAGATTGTGTCCGCAAGTGACTCGACACGAACTTGAAAAATAAAAAAATAAAAAAAAATAAATAAATATGGAGGTGGGTGTGTGCGCATGCGTATGTGTGTGATTAAAAACTAGCGCGAATGTTTCTGGGTCAAATTTTCTTCACAGAAATACGTTTTGTATACAAGTTTTTGTTTGTTTGTTTGTTGTCGTAGTTTTCTATCACGACATTTTTTTTTATTTATTTCCCGATGTCTACAATATCAATCAGTAACTTTTAGGTAATTAATGGATTTTAAAAGATCCGACATTATTTTTCATGACTTAAACGTTATATTTAGTGGATATGTGTGTTCGAGTAGACGTCACTTGTTTTTGAAACAGTTTGATTAATTTAGGTACCTCCAAACATTTTTTTTAAAAAAAACAACATACCATGATCACAAAATACACCAGACTTGATAAAAACAAGGTTTTATCGTCAAAATGTTTATATTATTATTAAGAGGAAAGATCTTATTATTTTATTAAATTTTATAATCTTTTCTAGTACATTCGAAATTTGAAAAAAAAAATTGTTTTTCTTGCGTCAACGAGTGGGCCAAAGATTACAAAAAAAAGGGTTTTTAGCGTCTTTTTGTTTTAGCGTTAAAACATTGTTTGAGAAATTCTTGAAAAAAAATCAAATAATTGTTGGATTTTAATAAAAATTTGCAGGACTTATTTACAAATGAAGGAAATTATTTATGATTTTTTTTTCTAGAAAATCTAGGTAAAAATATATATTTTATACATCTATTTCACCCACTTAAATTTATAAAATTTCGAAAAAGTAAAATTCCGTCTGTTTATTCCGTATACTTATATTAGTTAAAAGCTAAAATTCTCCTTGGAGAATTTAAATCATCATTTTGTTCTTGTCCAAAAGACACCCCATTTACCGAAAATCTGTTCTGAATCTTAAAATAAAAACAATTTAATAAAGCTAAAACATTATTTAATTAAAAAAGCTTTTAATTACTTTTATAAATAAGACATATTAAGGACACTATTGTCTTGAGAAAAACAAAATCGATTTTGATGAATTTTTGCAAGAATTGTTTTCATATTTTTAAAATTTTAATCAGAAAAATTCATTAAGTTTTACATTTTTTTTAAGATGGCCGAGTGTTTCGCATTCTGACCATGAGACCGGGGTTCGAATCTCACCGTGGTCGAATTATCAGGAGACTTCTTGATGTTATCGGACTGGTGGGTCGATCCCAGCATACGGCACCTTTGGAAAGTGCCTGAAAACCATACCACGCTTTGACCCATGTCTTGTGAGTGAAATTGGTTAGACATAAGCCTTGGGAGGCGTCGATAGCTATGCTAGCACGAAATCACAAGTCATCGTGGCCGAGGGCTTGAGCGTGCTGGCCTTGTTGAAAATGTTGATGACGCCAGATAACGGGCTCTTTCCCAGAAACTGTAACTAATGTCTGCTCAGCATAGTTGCAGTATAAACCACAGGTGGGCCCTGTGGGTGTTGAATAAACATAAATGTGCCTGAGCGAGAGTTTGCAACAGGGATTGGCTACCTGCCCTACTAGACGGGTATCCTCGAATACAAGTGGCCATATATATATATATATATATATATATATATATATATATATATATATATATATATATATATCTTTTAAAATTCTGAATTAATTTCAGCCTTTTAGATGACATTATTTAGTGAAAACTATATTTATTAATGATAAATGGAAAAGCTTAGTATAAATCATCAAACACTGATATTTTTAAAAGAAGTTTGAATTTTTTTATGTATATAAACGTGCCAATTTTTGTAAGTACGGGCGAACATATACGATATTATTAGAAATTAAAAGCGATAACTATAGTAAGTTTAAAATCAACATTTATAAAATTAAATAAAACATTACATCACGGAGAATATTTTCCTAATTTTTTAAGCTTAATGAGTACTTGAAAATTATTTTCTTTAATTATGTCTTACAGCCGAAGTCTCCGTAGAACAATATTAGATTTGTAATCAGTCTGACTGCCTGATGACAAATCTAATGTTGTTCGATGTCAAAACAGCTACTGTCGGGTTAAAAAATACATTTCTGCGATATTTTAAACTTAAATATATTCTCTTTTGTAAATAATATTTGTTTTAAATCAGATTAATTATACTTTGAATCAGCTAATATTTCTTGAATAAAATTTCATAAAAATACAATTGATTTTTGGATGATTTTTAGTCAAGAGAATTACATTTTGATGAAAGACGAATTAAAACAAAAAGGCGCTAATCAGCTATTTTAGTAAAAAGAAAAAACAACACCTTCCTGCCAATTTAAATTAGTTTTTGAAATACAGCAAAATATTTCGCTTATTGGAAATATTAAATATAATCTATTCATTTGAAATTAAAACTAAAATAAAAACCTTAAGAAATTTTTTAATTTTTAAAAATTCATTTTGAACCTTAGGCATCATTTATGTATGTGTGTGTGTGTGTGTGTGTGTGTGTGTGTGTAGGTCTCGAGATTAATTTCTACCGTCTACTGAGATTCCTGCTAAATAAAAAGCGCTCCCCAAATGCAGGAGATGCAGGTTCGGTTTCTGTCAAGAGGCGACGTTTTTTGTTTTTTTTTTGTTTCGTCACAGTGGCCCGTTTGTACAGTTGGTATGACGTTTGCCTGATAACGTGAGTCCCAAATATAGGACGAAACGGCCGTCTAGTACTTTCTCCATTCTGTTGAGGTTCCTTCTAGACTCGATGAATTACTTAATTATAATTATCTCAAATTGTCCTAATAATTTGTCTCACTTGTATATCCTTGCTTGAACCGGCTTTAAATGCTCTGGGTGGGGCGACAGTAGTCGTGGCTCGTGGGGACACAATCCTATGGGCAAGGAGAAACATGGATGAGTTCCACCACGGAATATGTGATCGAGAGGCGCTATATTGAATCTAATTCGTTGCCTCTTCATCACCGAGGTCCCTTTGTACAGTTGGTATGACGTTTGCCTGATAATGTGTACTGTCCGGGTTTGAATTCTCGGTAGTGGATGCGCACTGCTGATGAGTCCACATATAGTACTTTCTCCGTTGAGGTTTCTTCTAGACTCGATGAATTACTTAATTCTATATATATATATATATATATATATATATATATATATATATATATATATGAGTAATAGAATTATAGGGATATAGACAAATCCTTATAGTAACTCACTGAATCCTCAACAAAATGCAGAAAAGCACTGGATTTGTTTCGCCCTATTTGGGACTCATCAGCAGTGCGCATCCACTACCGAGATTCGAACCCGGACCGTTTCAATACAAGTAGCGGTGCTCTATCGAGTCTATTGAGTTTCTTATTCGTCAACGAAAGAACAGTAAGATATATAATCCGTTGTTCTTATTGGTATTTTTATTTTTACAAAATAGTGCTCAATGTAAATTTACAGAGCATTAATATTATAAATTAACTGATTTAAAATATGTTTGTTGCACTACACAGTAATAGCCATGTTTCAAAAATGGAAGCTAAAAGCTTCGAATTTAATTTTGTAATTAAATTAAAAACATTAGTTCCATTTCATCCTCAAGGATGTTATTATTTATTTATTAAACAGAGTATTTTATATATATATATATATATATATATATATAGATATAGATAGATATAGATATAATTATATATATATATATATATATATATATATATATATATATATATATATATATATATATATATATATAAAGGTTAAAACTAAGCAAAGCAACAGTAGTAACGCAAAGTAAGAATGGTGTTCACGCACAAATGTGATACAGTCAAGTGATTGTAGTTTTCTGTCTACAAGATGTGTAAGAACAAAATATGGCGGCTGACACTAAGAAATGGCTTATTTTTATTGGCTGTGAAGAAATCCCAGCATCCACTTGTAGGGTTTGTCAATAAATTGGGCCTAACTGATCTTTGTAGCAATCATTCGCTAATGAACTGGAACCAACATCTTTAATAAGACTTCTTAATCTCAAGGCCGGTTGATGTTAATTTTAGTTTAAAAAAAAAAATCGCGTACTAAAAAAATATAATATTTACAGTAATTAGATATATAAAGCAAT